GTGGTAGTGGTGGTAGTAGTGGTGGTAGTAGTAGTAGTAGTAACTGGATGTACTGGAGTGCAAGGCCGATGTACCAGACGTCACACATCCCATACCCGGGCGATGTGGTGCTGATGCCGGTGGTAGCGTTGCGGCCCCTTGGCATTCGATTCGAGCCTAGGAAGTTGGAGGAAGTTAGGGTTTAGGGTTAGGGTTTAGGGTTTAGGGTTTGCAGAGGACGGCTTAGTTCTCATGCTTGCAACTGGCTCAGGTTCACTCATGACAAGATCCGTCCAGTCTTCCGGAAAGGCAAGCATCGAGGCCAACCGATCTACGAACTGGTCAACGACTTGTTCCGACGGCGGGTGGACCCCACGGCCACCTGGTCTGAGACATGCTCCTTTTGCCATTAACTTCCGCGTCGAAGATACAGACGTGCTTCTGTAAAAAAAGGCCAGCTTGCCTCCGCTGGAGATTTACTTCCACAATGGCTTTTGGCGATCGCTGAACAACCGGCGCCTTTGGGCTTTAAAAGTGTCTCGGCCCATCACAGGAAGAGGTTGCTGCTGGCTTTCGGCTGAGTGGTGTTGCTGCCGATTCTCAGGCCTACATGGGCCTTTCCGGTGATTTTCAGCTGATGGTGAGAGCAACCTGTTTGCATGAAGTGCTCATAGCATTTTTGACATCGCAGACGTCAGACTCGTCGGGTTCATGCCAGCTCATCGTCTAGCTACATTGAGGCTTACATATCAAGATGTACCAAAGCCTCCTTTCTTGAAAAGAATTCAACTCATACGGATGGCCTCTCGGTCGAGATCACCGGGGACGAGGCAGCGCTGCAGGAGCATCCCAAAATCACGTGGCACACACACATGGTGTCAGTTGATGTTTTAACGAAAGGAGTGCTGTTGTTTCCTAGTAGAAGAAGCAAGAGGAGAATCACACTGATCAGTATTGTTGTGGAATGTCCCGTCGGTTTGAGACGAATGAAGTGATGCACAGGAGGTCTTCTACAAGTCGACTCCACAGCCTTGCCGATACTTCCAAGCAGGCGAAGGGGAGTGCCTGCGTGGAGAAGCTTGCCAGAAGAGAGAGGAGGCTGTGCAAAGTGCAAGCTGGCAGTGAGCACAAAGCTGAGGACAGCTGTCCTTTTGCACATGAAGATCCAGACGAGGAATTGCTTTTGGAGGCATGAAATGCACAGCAGAACTGTATCGGGAGCTCAGATTTCATTCAAGATTTCCGCACCGCGTTAGTGTCGTGTCAGCTCAGATTCGAAGCATCACGCATGCACGGACAGAAACACTACGTGAACTAACCAAACCACCCCAAAGAACTTTCAGGGCGTTCTTGCGATCTAGTTAGACGACGAGACTCACCAATCACTTGATGAAGATGATGAAGGACCAGCACAACCGGACAGCAGCCAGACGACTGCTGACGCGAGTCTATGCGACACTGGGTGCGATCAGGCCAACACATGCAGAGGGTTTGGTCTTAGACGGTGCCTTTGCCAGCGCATCTCTCCACTGTGTGCTACGACCTGAGGAAATGCCTTGGCCAAGCATGGTCGGCTTCGTTCAGCCCGGAGCAGGTGTCGGCTCGTGTGTACGTCTAGCTTTGAGCTTCGATTAATTTGGACAGAGTTGCGCCATGAATGCTGCTGGCATTTGAGGAGATGGAAAGTGAGACCGAGGGCCAAGAGCCATCAGAGCCTCAGAGAAGGTCTTCACCTTCCATCCCGAAAGATCCGATCCAAGCACTGTTTGCCTATGTGGACTCCGCAGAGATGGATGTGCCGATGGATGGGAAGAGGCAGAAGGATTGCTCTACAGGCACGGCCCTATATGACCAGTGAAGGCAAGTCGCGGTCGTCTTCTAAATGTTCACTTCGTATTGAGACCCGCCGGGATGACCCCGCCCCACCTCCTGAACAAGACTCCCCACTCGGCAGCAAAGTTATAAAGCCATCGATTTCTATTACCCAGCAGTACCAGAAGGCTAATGTGTTAGCGCATTTACTGCCAGCAAGCAAGATTGGGATTTTGTTCGCTTCGGCCACTTGGATTCTGCAACCGGTTGCGTGGTTGCAAATACGTTCCGGGAGTTGGATTTCACATGAGCATGCGCATCTTCTTTCTCAAGGTCAACATGAACTTGCTGGGGGCTGAACGAAAGCAAGTAGCGGAGTAGTTCGTGTTTGGTGCTCGGACGACCAGAGAGAAGCTATAAGTCACGATAAAACTGTGAGGTTACGCCTCCCACGTCTGGATGATAGGACGACATATGTGCAGTACTCCACGAAGTCTTTTGGGGGGTGGTGCTACCGGATCGATTGATGCTACAGAAGCGAAACAGGGGACACAGAGATCAACATGCACTTTTGAAGTATGCGCAAACGGGGTGAATGGACCCTTTGGAGCAGCATGGCAAATCTTGAGCAACCAAGACGAAGCATGGTGCACGAAAAGCATCCATACCATTCTGAACCCAAGAGATCGTGGGCACAACATTTCAGCCGTGTGCCGCATTTACCTGCCGTCAGGTGTGCCAGCCAGGCCTCCAGTCTCTTGGACTCAGTCGGGAACTATGTAGTAAACCAGTGGATCAACCGGACAACAAGTAACAAGTATATCCTGAGATGATCTAGAGTTTCGATGCATCACATGATGGACAAGAATGGAGAGAAGACCGGTCAAGATTTAGAGGCCATAGGCCAGATATGGCCGAATTCTGTTTTCACGTGCCTCTATAAACTATACCGAAGCCGAAATCAGAGAATCCCAAGGTTACGCAGCCGGAAGCGCCAGCGTTGACCAGAAGACCTGAGGCCTTTCAGGCCGGGCTCTGATTTGTGGTCGTTTGCTTCGATGCACTAGGGTTAGGGATTTAAGGGTTTAGGGCCTTTAGGGTTTTTGCTAAGGATTTAAGGGGGGTTGAGGGTTGAGAATTAAGGCTTAGCATGTCAGGGGCCAACCGAAGCGCATAGTCAGGCGATATTTGCTGCCCAGCATAACCAGGCAGCAGTGACAGTTTTTGCTAAGATGCTTGCAGATCATGGTTGAATGCTGAGTCAGAATCAACTCCATAAATAACAGCATGCTGGCCCAAAGATCCAAAGCCCTGCGCACGGTGGACTTTGTGCAGTGAGAATGAATGCCTGCCCAGGAGTCTGCAGAGTTGCGTTCGGTGCCGGAACCATCTCGGGCGAACAACCTGGGTGGACTGGATGATGCTTCATCGCGGCCCAACGCAGTGAAGCAGAGGAGCCGCTTGAAGGAGCAGCTCGAGCGAAAAGGCGTGGAAAAAGGCAGGGCCCCACAAGCTCCCACACCGCTGAGCTCGAGTTCTGCGCCCTTTCGGCCTTCCGAGCCACAGCCTTCCGAGCTCTTGAGACATCGTGAGACAGCTCAGCAAGATCGGGTGAAGCCGACCGCCTCTTGGCCAGATTCGAGCAGAGATTTTGCTGCCACGCTTGACAATGGAAACGAATGTCGAACCGGATATGACACCTGGATGTCGTGGCTTCGAAACAATTGCGTTTCGTACTTCGAGGCAGTCGGTGAGCGAGCCACGAACACCAATCTCAACCAGGATGATGCGGAGCTGCCAAGGACAGCGAAGGCCAGGGAACCATGCTTCGGAGTTGCATCCGTTTTCAAAGCCTGAAAGCAGAGACCTGATCAGGATTCGCCGGCGTGTACTTCACACTCACGTGAGGAGGTCCACGTGCAGGCGCACGCAGACATGCCTGCAGCCTTGGACCGGGGTTGAGTGAAGGGCTGGTGCTGCGACCATTTGGACGTTGATCCTGGAGTCTTGGAGAGCTTGCGAGTGGTCTTTGTATGGGCCGGTGTTTGGACGGATCTTGTTGACCTAAATAAACCTAAGCCGAGCAGGTCAACAGTGGTCCAGCTGAAAGCTCGGCCATGAAGAAGGCCACGATGGAGTCGACAATGGAAGACATTGCAGAAGCCGTCTCCTTGTCTGTTGCCACTTCACTGGACATTGGATTGTTCAGCGCATCATCTGCTGCCACTCCGTCTTTGACGATACCACCTCCACCACCTTCGCCTCCTCCACCACCGCTTGCAGTCGAGCACTACACCAACCCAATAC